ACTTAACTAAAAGAAAGATGTTTTATCGTTCAATAGTTAAAATTTGGTCTGAAATTTAAGTAAAAATAATTACCGAACTGAGTTAATACTAATTTGGTTCAAATCTAAATTCTTGGACACCAGGGTCAACCTTCAGAGTATAGATCAGCTGTTCCTACCAGGAGTCACCTTTGAAGGCCGCCTGAAGATACCAGATATTGGACTTTTTCTGCTCAGATGGTCTTTGATGTAAAGGTGGAAATTCCTTCACATCCCTGACATCAAGGCGTGAGTTTGGTCACTGGCTCCAATGGTCAACCGGAGCGTCTCCTGGAGTTCTGGACAGCTGTTGTTAACTTTGATGATGACAACTTCAGGTGTCTGGACCGCTGAAGAGGGTTCTATTAAACTTTGCCAAAGTTGAAACAAATTTTCTTCTTGGAAGTTTTGTAGGTTGTGTCTTACTCCTTCGCCTCCTGTCTTCTCTCAACTTCCTTCATCTTTTCTTCTTTTCATCTCCTCTCATCTTCTCCTCTTGTAAACAACTGACCACACCTCTGATTTGAAAGAGGTGGTCAATTTGAACCAATCAGAATGGAAGGGCTAAACTTTATCAACTAAATAAAGTATTATTTTAATCTGCTCTGTTGAAAAAGGCATCAAATAAAACCATTTAAGAGACTTATCAACTTTAAATGAGGTTTAAACCAATAAAGACACTTTGTTAACCTTGTAAACAAAAAACAAGTTTGTAAACTTTTGGGAGAAACACATAGCAAGTTATTTAGTTATTCACAGTAAACAATTATTTCATTATAGAAAAACATTATTACTTCTTCCAGAATGTGAATAAAAGTCTGTCAGTTTTCTACATGCAGGAAAGGGGACCCAAGTGTCAAGGCTGGAATTCTTTTGAACAGAGACAAGGCTTTTATTTACGATCGTTGAAGAATAGTTTGGTTGGAGGTTGGTACAAGGTGATACCAGGATATCCTGCGTGATCTGTGTTAACTCAAACGTCCACTTTTGGGGTTCACAGAAAAGGTGTTCCAATATTATTCAAATTTATTGGATCTTCAGTTGTCTTGCAAACCATAAAAGCCTCTTTTGACACTTTCCAGAGTTAGAGATGCTGAGAACAAGGTTTAAACTGTCCCAGGGTCTGAAACGGGGGTGGAAAGTCTCAGTTGTTCAAGGGAGAAAAGTTTCCTTTTTTCCTTTTTTCAGAAACATCTTTACAGAATGAACTACTCAGTTACCAGAAATAAAAGTATGTTATAAAATGACATTCAAGGATGCAGGTATATCTCTACATAACTGTGGATGAATGATTAGACTTGGTCCAGCATTAGATATTATTAGTAATACAGGTATTAGGAAAACTTAAATTATACAATTATGATCATTTTTATTTACTTGCAGGATGTGCTGTTTGCAGTAGGATAAAGTCAACCGGTGTCCTGGCAGAGAAGGGGATCTCCATATCTGAGGAGTGGGCCTCCTTTAAGATCCATTCAGGCTCAAATGAGAACAGAGGAACAGCACTGTCTTCACTCTGGAACAAGATTCTGCAGCATGAGATGTCCAGGGCTCATGAAATAGCTCAGGAGCTTACACAAAGGGTGGTCAAGATGTGCTTGGAAGTATGGTGAGAGCTCTGTGAGACACTGTGCTGGCTGAGACATATGCTGTGTTTAGAAGAACATACTGATCAAGGAGGACCATCAGCTCCTCCTTGATCATGTGAACAGCTAGTTCTGGATGTCAACAACAAACTGGTTGATCCACTCTGAGAAGGTGCTATTTATAAGACTGAGTTGAATACAGCTCCTCAGACTGAAGAAGTCTTTTGGATGAAAGATGAAAGATGAAACGTTTACAATTTAAAAATTTTTTTTAACCCATCCAGAGGACCTGACTTATGTTTAAAATTTTCTACCTGGATTATTGAGAATGCATCAGGATGTTTTTTGTATAATTAATACTTCTGTACTTAATACTTGAAAATGTTTGCATTAACACTGTTTTATAAACTCTATGTTCTTTAAGCCATCTGTTGTACAAAGGTTGTTGTATATTTATTGAAATATAATCAGAGAGATTATGAAATGTTCAATACGTTTACAAATCAAAATAAATTGACGATTACATTGTACTAACTGGTGTACTTTGTTTTCTAAGGACAGTATAACCACTACTAAAATGTAGACTACACCACTACACAGCAGTGACGTGAAACTCACACTTTTCCAGTTTTACAAACAGCTGGTTCTCAAATAGCCTATGCAGAACGGTTCTGAACTGTTGGATGTGTTGTTCCATGTTCAGGGAGTAGATGAGACTATCATCCAGGTAGACAAACACAAAGTCATTAACAAAGTCTCTTAATACATCATTCACTAGTGCTTGAAATACAGGGGGGCGTAAGTAAGTCTGAATGGCATTACTAAATATTCAAAATGACCCGGGGGTGTTCTACAAGCGGTTTTCCATTCATCGCCTTCCTTTATTTGTAACAGATGCTAAACATTATGTAGATCTAATTTTGTAAAAATGGAGGCCGAATGGAGTTGTTCATGAATGGAATCAATAAGGGGTAGAGGATATTAATTTTTTTTACAGTATGGCATTTAATCCTCTGTAGTCTATACATGGCCTCAGGGTCGTGTCCTTTTTAGCGTCAAAGAAGAATCCTGCCCCTACTGGAGAAGTAGAGAAGCGTATAATTCCTGAGTCAAGTAATTCATCTATGTATTTTCTCATGGCCTCTCTTTCAGGGCCTGAGAGATTGAACAGTCGACTAGTGGGTAGAACTGACCCTGGTAGGAGGTCAATGGCACAGTCGTATGGACGTGAGGAGGTAGAGGAGACAGAGCCCTTTGTTTGCTAAACACACGGACTAAATCATAAAAGGCTGTTGGGACCTCGGAGATATTAATTTCATCATTTTGAGTATTGGAATTAACCTGCGTATATACCGCTGTGCGTAAACAGTCCTGTAAACAGGTGTCACTCCATCCTTCAATTCTCCTCTGCTCCCAGTTAATGTTTGGACTGTGTCTCTTTAGCCACGGCAATCTAGAAATCAGCTGAGTGTTGGGGGATTCAAATACAAAGAATTCACTCACTTCATGATGATGGGCTGATGTGATCAGATGCACACCCATGGGTTTGAGTTGGATCTGTGCGAGTCGGTGTCCTGTAATGCCTGACACAGACATGGGGGGTTGAAGAACCTGGGTAAGAATAGACAATTTTTCAACCAAGTCCTTACTGAATAAATTCAGCTCATTTCCAAAATCTACCAGAACAGTGACAGGTAAACAATCTTGATTAAATTGTTTAATAGTGAGTAATGTAAGATGTGATGTAGGAAAAAGAGATGAAGTTCCCACCAATATCCTTTTACTGGTGGGACAGGTAATTTCTTATATGAAGATTTATTATGCAGAGAGTGGTGAAGGCAGCACAGAAATCTGTCGGAATCAGCCTCCCCACCATCACAGACATCTACACCTCCAGATGCAGGAAGAGGGACACCTGCATCATGAAGGACCCCACTCACCCAGCACACACACTTTTTGCCCCACTCCCCTCAGGAAGGAGGTTAAGGAGCATTAAGTGTAGAACCACTAGACTGAGGAACAGCTTCTACCCTGAGGCTGTTACACTCATGAATCTCTAACTAGAATAATCACTGTGAAAAACACATCATGTTGCTGCTGATCTGTTTCATGTTGGTGCTGATCTGTTTCATGTTGCTGCTGATCTGTTTCAATGTTGATGTGTTCATGCGTGCTCATCTGCTCACAGACTCATGTTCATGTTTGTGCTGATGTTCAATGTTTTATGTTATGAGTGCTTAGTGTATATTTAGTTGATGTTTTTCTTAGTTCATATCTTAGATGTTATTACTGTTTTTCTTATACATTTTATTGTTGGATGTAACTGGGACCCTGTGTACATAATTTCGCTCCACCACATGTACCACATGAGGTGCGAATGACAATAAAGAAACTCTGACTCTGACTCTGATTATTTACATTTACAAACTGGAATCTATCAGATGGATATGATTTAAACCATTTTAGAGCTGTTCCTGTAATCCCAACATCATATTCAAGCCTCTGTAATAAAATATTATGATCAACTGTATCAAATGCAGCACTGAGGTCTAACAGGACCAGTAGAGACTTTCACTGGTGTTTCTTTGCTATGGTGAGCTCTAAACCTGGACTGAAGCAAACTTCTAAACGTGAATAAGATCAAATACGATTGACAAAACAATTTATTTAAAACTCTGGCCATCAGGAAAACAGAGTATGCATACATTTCAATTTACAATAGATTTTTACACCATCATTTGAACATTCATTGATAATTTCTCATATGTCACACCTTCAGCTTCACTTAAACTGCCTACTTCTGTGTGTGTGTGTGTGTGTGGGGGGGGTGTATTTCTTTTCTTCAGAACCTCTACAGAAAACAAGGCTGTTGTAAACTCCTGCCTAATTATTAAAGCATCTCCCTCCCAACATTCTAATGCAGAGCGTAATCACTGTGTCCTCACAGCGTGAGCGTGCAGAAACACGCAGCAGCGTGTTCCTTTGTGTAGGTCTGCAGGAGGCTGCTCGCTGCTTCATGACCAGGCTGCCTCTAGGACCCAGCGTGCCTCTGTGTAGTTTCTGTGTGGAGATGAGCTTCTTGCCCATCACGAATCACATTGCGACTCTGTAAACTGAGGATGCTGCAGAACAGGCTCGTTTAAAGCCACTGCTTCTTTTACCTCCGTTCTCCTGCAGCTACTTATTTAACAACCTCCATCTTACAGGTGTTTCATTTATTTATTTCATTTTATAATAGGCTTGATTTATTTAATTTTCCTTTTAATCTTGGGGCACATGAGCACATCTCGGGAGCATCCTTCCTCCTGCAGCCTGGAGTCATGACTGATCAGCAGCTTCACTTTGAGCTCCCACTCCATCGTTCGGGTCTGAGCAGCTCAGAGCCCTGAACTCATTTGTCTTTTAACTTTCTTCAGCCTCTTCGACACATCCAGCTGCAGCAGGTACTTTTTTTTACACCTGAGGTGAGTCTCAGACACAAAGCCCATTTATTGTATTTTCAGATGGTTGTGTTTTTCCCCACCATCATGCATGTCAGTGAGTACAGTGAGCGTGGGAGAGAAGCCTCATTCTTCGCCCATATTCCCTGTCTCATAACCCCCATCCTCTTCCTCCTCTTCCTCCTCAGTCTGCATTTAAGGCTTCTTGTCGACCCAGTTAGAGATTCCGTGTGATCTGTAACTCGATTTCATGTCATATATTCCGTGTTGGCTAAATGGAAGTGTGGGACGTGACAGTGAATACTAATTACTGTCACTTGCTGTCTCTCCACCTCCCCCTCCATCTATTAGTTTATTTATTGCACTACTGAAGGGAATCCCCACCCCTTCCCCCCTACAGATGGGTCTCACTGTATCTGGTGTTTCTATATACGATTAAATTGAAGCTTCTTGTTGATTGCAGCAGTGTGGAAGCAGCCATGTGGACCAGAGGGAGCACATCTTCACTCATCGGCCTGCTGCTGCTCACAGCTCTTTGGGAAATCAGGTGAGCCCTCTGGAAAAGAGACATCAGGTCTCTGGACACACATTTTGTCTCTGGGGACCTCTATGTGTTTTTTATTTAAATTTTTTGACCAGGTGGACTCTTTTATAGTTGGACACAGAGATCTTCTCCTGTGATCGTTGTTAATAAATGTAGGTGGAAGGACTGATGGGAAATTAGAGAAATGCAGCTGGCATAAGCACTTCTCAGTTTTATGGGTCCTGCATGTGGGGCACTCTCCCAAAACCCCTTCAAATGAAAGTGACAATTTTGTCTTGTGTTTTTAGATGTTTAAATCTGACAGGTCAGAGAAAGAGTCAGATTTACCAACATTTCACACTTTACAGTGTTTTATTTGAGGCCATGTTATATATCGGTTTTGTGGAATATTTATGGTGGATAATATCTTACTCGCTTTATTTATACAGGTCAATCCCATTGAGCCTTGGGGACTCATTTACAAGAGAGACCTGATTTAACAGAGTGATGACAACAGTGGACAATCATAAAAGATGCATACAAATTTAATTTTTTTAACAAGTTAAAATAAAATGGCAACCAAAAGGACAAGCAAAAGGAAAAATAGTGAAAAAACAAGGCGGTGCAGAAACTAAAAACAGGAACATCTGCAGGAACTTATCAGATGTTTGAAGTCACTTAGAGAGGTCAAAGGTCGAGAGCTTCAGATCTTTTTACAAGATAGTCCAGGAAACAGGAGCGGAGTAGGAGAAGGTCCTTTTGTCTAGTTCAGTCCTCACTGAGGGAACACTGCAGGTAATGATGTCCTGAGAGCGCACGCTGTAGCTGCACTCACACAGAGACATGTAGGAGGAGATGTATGAAGGCAGCAGACGAAGAAGTGATTTAAAGATGAAAATGTACCAGTGAGAGAGTCTGCGTGAAGTTAATGATGTCCAGTTAACCAGTGAATACTGGGTGCAGTGGTGGGTACGATAATCACAGCCAGTTATGAATCTTAGTGCACCATGATAGACAGCATCCAACATCTGCAGCATCCAACATCTGCAGCATCCAATATCTGCAGCATCCAACATCTGCAGCATCCAACATCTGCAGCATCCAACATCTGCAGGGTTCTTGTAGGAGCGTTCATGTAAATAATATCACCGTGATCAATGGAGGGAAAGAAAGTCACAGATACACGGTGTTTCCTAGCATTCTTAGGTGTTGTAGATAGCACTTTGGAGAATCTTGATTATTATTGCCAACTACTAAAATACAAAGATGGATGATAACGTTTTTACCTGTATTATTATTTTTTTTATGTTTGTGGGCCAAATATGTCATGAACCGTTGGACAGATTTTAAAGAAACGATTGAAAAATATTCATTGGAAAAACATCTAGAACTGATTAAATGTTGAGCTCACCCCGTTCAAGATGGCTGTCACTGCCAACTCACCTCTCACCTTTAAAAACACTTACAAAAATTAATAAAAGGGTCTCATTCAGTCACATACAGATATTAAGGTGTACAGTTAGTAGATAATCAATGGACGCAGATTTACAAGTAACATTTGGAGTCAGTTAACTTGAATGGATGTAACAGCAACTCAATATCAGCCAACCCACAAGTGGCTATAGCAGAGTTTTATATATACTGAGCTGAAATTTAATGCTGTCGTGACTGAGTCCTCCCCAATGCATACTTTGAGTATCACAACTTTTTGCAAAAAGATTTGTCCAAACTATTATTTTCAAGGTATAAGCAAATATGCATTCCTTCAGGGAATGTTATACTTTTCATTTGCATCGAGTTTTATTGTTGCGAGCACAAACCGTGGCAGCAGCCACAGAATTTCTGTTTCGTTTTTTCTTCCAAAAATATGATGGTAGTACAGTATTTAAAGGTTTATATAATTGTATTTGCAAGCATTGTAATGACATTTTAAAGACTAAAGTTGTTTAAAGGTGGCTAAATTTACTTTGGAATTTGGCTCATGCACTCAAACTATTATTAGCTTGTTGATGCAATGTCAAGTTTCAAAATTTACAGCAGGTATTTAAACCTTTACATCTGCATTGTTATTGCATCACAAGATTATTTCAACATAATTATTTTTAATTTTTTTGAATAAACTGGCCTTAGACTAGACTGAAAGTCTGACGTCTTGCTGCTTCTGTTAGCAGAAGCTCTCTTCCCTGCTCTCTTCAAAATAGAAGTTATTTTACAAACTATTCCCAGTCTGGACCTTTTGATGCTCTGTGCTCTGATTAACTGATAAACCCTAATTAAACCTGACAGAGGCTGATAATGGTGCATGCAACCAACAATGGAATTATTTGTAAATATCAATGTGTTAACAAAGTAATGGTAGTTTAAAATTCAATTTCATTTACCTTTACATTATTGTCATTGCACTAAAGAACAACACAACAACACGTAATTGGCAACATTCTAATAGCACCATTCAAAAAGACTTATTGTCATTTGTTATTTTATTGTTTGCACAAAAAAGAAACAACACTTTGAAACTACATTCTAATCATTATCATTTTGAAGATTGGAGTTTAAGACCGTAGCAGAGCATTTTGGTTTGGCTGTGTGTGAACAATTGTTAATCTTGTTAGAATAAAACTCTTATTTCTGCAAATTGTGATCATTCAGGGATCTATCTACTAGAGGTCAGGTCATTTTTAACCTCTCCACATAATCCCACGTCAAAATGACTGAGATAAACATTCAGACCTCTACGAATCAAAAAAGCAGTAGTTAACATTTTTGGAAAGTTTCATGTCTTTTTTCTCTTCTTTATTTTGAGCCAAAGGTTCATATTTAGGCATGAAAGAGACTTCAGCCTGTGCAGTTGCTTAGCAAGGTGTATTTGTATTTTATTAAAATATTGACTGATGTTACTAAGAGTTTCCAGTATTTTCTCTTGTGTAACACTATAAAAAATGTGCAGGGTGGATTTGGTAACACTTCCTGGTTACAAACAAGTTTCCTTAACCTTTAAAACTGTGTCTGCCATTGTGTATCTATTCCTACCAAACCCAGCCGGTCGAAGCAGATGGTCCTCTTGTCCTGATCCTGGTTCTGCTAAAGGTTTCTTCCTCACGAGGGAGTTTTTCTTTCCACTGTCACCTTCATGCTTGTTCAAGATGAGAGTTCAGTGATGGAGTTAAACTCAAAGCTGCTCCTCACATAAATAATGTTAAATTATTATTTTATACATGAATGTTTCTGTTCAGTGTCCTGAGACTTCTGTTGTGACTTGGAGCTATAGAAATAAACTGAACTGAATTGAACAATTTTCAGTCAGGTCATCTGGACAGTTTCTTTTTTTGCTGAAACGTTTCACCTTCCATCCAGAAGGCTTCATCAGTCAAAGAAGCAACAACAAAACTGATTCTTCCCCCAACAGCTTCAACAGTCGAGTCAAACTGGTTCAAAACCAAAAATGTCCACGCTCAATAATCCAGGTATACAATCCAACAATTAACCTGGATACCTATACCTATCTGGATATACCTGCCAGCACCAGAGGAGGGGGCATGCCAAAGAGACCATCTTAGCACCAACATAACTGGTTTGTTCCACTTTGGAGTAAGTTGTTGGGGAAGAATCAGTTTTGTTGTGTGTTTCCTTGACTGATGAAGCCTTCTGGATGGAAGGTGAAACATTTCAGCACAAAAAAAGAAACTGTCCAGATGACCTGACTGAAAAATGTTGGTTTGTATACCTGGATTATTGAGCATGGACTTTGTTGAACTGAATTGATTTGATGTGGTTTTGACTCTTTAACATGCTACTTGAAGCTAAATTTTACATAAAATATATTTCCCCACATTTGTCTGCGTGAGACACAAACTTGCTCTTTAATTGACCGTTCTTACCATTACTAATGTGCGGCACCACAGCTTCAAATGCCTAGCTGTTTCAAGTATTCAAGATCAGCGTTCAAACTCTAGTTTTTTGGTCTTTTATACCTGCTTTATTATTTTTACACACAAACATACATTTGAGTTAGATTTAATGGTTTATCATTGTGATAGTGAAATGTTCTTGGTGTGCAATGATTGTACAGTGCTGCAAGGGTTGTTCACTATGAATGTTCTGGAACTAAAACATTTTTTAAATAGCATGTCAAGCTACATGTTGTGTTGTACAGTGCATGGTCTGTGATGGCAGCACAGCAGGAGAACCTCCTTTTAGCTTAGCATACTATTGTTTGTATAATATATAATTTGTGTAATATTTAGTTGGATTAGCATACTATTGTTTGTATAATATATAATTTGTGTAATATTTAGTTGGATTAGCATAATATTGTTTGTATAATATTATAATAATAATAATTTTCCAAGATGGCGCCGGTGTGTAGGGCTGCCCGTCTCTCGCTCTCTGCTTGTATTTTATTTTTGTTATTTTTACAATGGTTGGTGCAGTGTGCCGAGTCATATTTTCAGTATGATCGTCGGGCACTTTTGGAGCTCCGTACATTTGCTGAAATTCCCACGGAGTTTTTGAACAGCGGCCAGCACTCTCCTCCACCGGTCCTGGCTGAGATTCCTGCGTTCCTTCTGCGTGACCCTGGCCTTTCTCCATGGAGGAAACGTCGCAGACGTCGTGGGAAGCGTGCAGGGATTTTGGTGAAACTGAGGCAAAGTGTGGATTATTCTATCAGGACTCGCTCTGGATCTGATCATCTCCTCTCTGACCCGTGGTGCTCCCGGGGCCCGGCTGCTGGCCAGCTGCCCGCGCGCTCAGTCCATGTGAACACCTGGAGTTGTTTACCTGTGCGCCGCACCAGCAGACCAGGAGGAGCTGTTCTTCATAACCTGCGCCCGCTGGCGCGCGCGTCTCCCTCCACGGCTGTGCCTGTGTTGGACCCTATCAGGATGTGTTTAATCAACACAAGGTCTGTTTCCAACAAGACGTTTATCCTCAATGACTTTTTTAAAGATCAGGAGTTGGATTTTCTGTTCGTCACAGAATCTTGGATTTCTGATGGTGAGTCCAGCGCCTTGGTGGAACTACTACCTCCGGACTGTCTGTGTTTCAATGCCCCGTGGCCATCAGGTCGGCGCGGGGGGGGATTATTAACAGTTTTTAAAGCAAACTTGGCCTGTAAACAGTTGTCCATCCCGGTGTCCCGCGCCAGCTTTGAGCTGAGCGTCTTTGAACTCGGACACTCTCCTCTGGTCCTGTGTGCACTCGTCTATCGCCCACCTCGTTCTAAGGACTTCATAAATGAATTCTCTGACTTTTTGGCTGATATCACACAGAGATACACTCACTTTTTGTTTATTGGTGACTTTAATTTGCATGTGTGTTGTCAGGAGAAGCCCTTAGTGAAGGACTTTCTAGATTTATTGGACTCTTTTGGCTTAGCTCAGCAGGTGAGCAGCCCCACCCAGGAACATGGTCACACGCTGGACCTCGTTTTAACACGCGATGTCTCTGTTTCTAATTTGAAAATCGGTGACAATGTTTTTTCAGATCACATGCCTGTATTGTTTGACTTCACCCCCCCTTGTCATACTGATAAGACGTGCGTTCCTGCACGTACGCGTTCCATTAACTGTTTCACTGCTGCTCGTTTTAATGTTTTAATGAAGGTTTTAATTCTGAGAAGATCGAACAGTTCCCGGTGTCTCTTACCACTGAGGAGCTAACCTCTCAGTTCAACTCTGCCTGTTTAAATGTTCTGGACCGTGATGCTCCCCTTAAGACCAGAAAAACAAAACTTAGATCAGAGCCTTGGCTGAATGACGTCACGCGAGCCGTTAGGCGGCAGTGTCGCAAAGCTGAACGAAGGTGGAGGAAGGACAGGCTGCAGGTTTCTTTTCAAATGTTAAGGGAGAGTTGGCGTCACTATCAGAAAACCGTTAAAGCTGCCAAATGTAAATTCTTCTCTGATTTAATTGTCTCCAACTCCCACAACCCCCGAGTTCTTTTCTCCACCCTGAACTCAGTTCTACACCTCAGTGAGCCTTCACCTCTGGAAGCCTCAACTGAGCTGTGTGAGAACTTCCTCCATTTCTTTTTAGAAAAAGTGGCAAACACCCGGGCACTGATTTCTCCACCAGCTCATGATCTGTCCATCCCATCTCAGTGTGTGGCTGTGTTTGACCACTTTGAGCCCATCTCTCTGTCCTCTCTGGAGCAGGTAATGTGCAGCATGAAACCATCTGGTTCTCCCTTTGATGTGGTCCCCCCTCGACTACTAAAGGAAGTTTTTCCGACCCTGGGTCCTTTTATCCTCGCTATTCTGAATAGCAGTTTATCCTCAGGTGTGGTGCCAAAGACTTTTAAACATGCTGCTGTCCAGCCCCTCCTGAAAAAACCTAACCTTGACCCCTCAGTCATGTCCAACTTCCGGCCTGTCTCCAGACTCCCATTCACCTCTAAACTACTAGAAAAAATTGTGGAGTCTCAGTTGAAACAGTTTTTGGGGGATCACGCTATCCTTGAGTTATTCCAATCTGGCTTCAAATCTCTCCATAGCACTGAAACTGCTCTACTGAAGGTTTTTAACAACATTTTCATTTCCACAGATGCAGGTGATTCTGTGCTGTTGGTCCTATTGGACCTTACATCTGCTTTTGACACCATCGACCACAAGATCCTCATTTCTAGACTGGAGCAGTGGGTGGGCATCACAGGGTCAGCCCTTAAATGGTTTGGGTCCTACCTATCTGACAGAACCTTCTGTGTCAATATCAAAGATTCTAGTTCGGCATCGACAGCGCTCCAGTGGGGGGTACCGCAGGGGTCCATCCTCGGTCCCCTTCTCTTTTCTTTATACCTGCTGCCACTAGGTGCTATCTTCCGCAAACACGACATACCCTTTCATTTCTACGCCGATGATTGCCAAATTTACTTCCCCCTGAGGCACAGAGGCACACGCTCTATTCAGCCTCTTCTTGACTGCCTGGCTGACATCCGGGACTGGATGGCTTTAAACTTCTTAAGCTTCAATGAGAAGAAGTCTGAAGTCATGCTGTTCCATCCCAGTGGCTCACTCATGAACCATGACATTGACCTTTTCTCTCTAGCCCCGCTAGAGAAACAAAAGGTCACTAATCTGGGGGTGATAATGGACCCGTCCTTAAAACTCAACAGTCACGTAAACATGATGGTCAAATCCTGTTTTTTTCAGCTGAGACGGCTGTCTAAGCTGAAGCCTATACTCTCCAAAAAGAACCTTGAGACAGTGATCCACGCCTTCATAACATCTAGGCTTGATTACTGCAATTCACTTCTGTTTGGAATCAGTCAGTCCTCCATTGCTCGTCTACAACTGGTCCAAAATGCTGCAGCCCGATTTTTAACTGGTACAGGCTATAGAGAGCACATCACGCCAGTTTTGGCCTCCCTGCACTGGCTACCCATTCACCTTCGGATCCATTTCAAAATTCTCATGTATGTTTTTAAATCACTGAACAGTTCCACCCCATCCTATCTCACTGATCTTCTGCAGCCATATGTCCCACCGCGCTCTCTGAGGTCAGCAGACCAGATGCTTCTCTCAGTCCCAGAAACCCGTCGTAAGCTCAGGGGTGACAGGGCTTTCTCTGTTGCAGGTCCACGACTGTGGAATGAGTTGCCACTGAGTGTCCGGCAGGCTCCCACACTCTCAGTCTTTAAGTCTCGCTTGAAGACCCACTTCTATTCGCTTGCCTTTAACACGGTGTGATTTGTTTTGGCCCGGTCTGTTCTTTACTCTGTTGGCCATTTTAGTTAGCTTCTGCTGCTATTTGTATCTGTATTTCTATTTTATGTTTTCCTGTCTGCTGTGCATGTTTGTGTTCTTTTGTACAACACTTTGGTTGGCCTTGTTGCTGTTTTAAGTGCTATATAAATAAATTGGTATGGGATGGTATGGTATAATATATAATTTGTATAATATTTAGTTGGATTAGCATAATATT